GATATTCCTTTCGATATTATTCTTGAATCTTTTAAAAGATCACTTTTAGTAATTACTACTATTCTTTTTAAACACTTCAACTATCTAAAAATATTTAACTTATACCTTTTTATTTCTCCTTATTCAATCAAGAAATGATTTTAAATTATTATTAACTTGGCCAAACTTCATCTTTTTCTTTCTAATTGATATCAAACTATTGATTACTGAAATTTTTTTCAAGATTTAAAACTCAAACTATTCTATCTACAAACTTTCTTTTATATTAACTATATTAAAGATACAAACACAGAAATACCTATATTACAAATTCACAACAACTCTAAATTTTATATTAATATTTCTATAAATATACCAATACAAAAATTCTTAACAACTTACTATATTCCTTCTTTTTCTTTATTCTCAACAGAATTCAATAAGTGGTTTCAAAAATTTTTTAAACACTACAAAAAACAATTTAATACTAAAGCTGGGCTCCATGAATATTCATGAATAAGATGAATATTCAATTAGAATATGAATATTCTGTTACACAAAACCTGTGAATAATCAAGAATTTTTTAAGAATATTCTGTACAAATAATTCATATGAATATTTACATAAATATCTGTGTGAATATTCTATATAAATAATCTATATAAAATATTTATATAAATATTTGTTTGAATATTCTGTATAAGTAATCTATGCGAATATTCATATAAATATCTGTGAATATCCATATGAATATTCATATAAATATCCATGAGTATTCTGTATGAATATTTGTGTGAATATTTAATGAATATTTGTATGAATATTCAATGAATATCTATATAAATATCTATCTACCATAAATTGCTGCATAAACTACTCTGGGTCTGTTACTTTAAACCTGTATGAAAATTAATTCAAACCCGAGAGTCTGCTGTATGGAGAAGGGTCTGCTATTAGAAAGTTCTGTTGTGCGATAAAAAGATTATTGGCCAATTAAGCAATCCTATGATGGATATATAATATGTGACCACATAAAAACCTGGGTTTTATACTTTTTACCTTTTGCTGAACCCAAGTAACAGACCCGGGTCTGCTAGAAGGGGGTCTTCGATAAAGAGGGTGGTTTATGTGGCAATTTACGTGCTAAACTAATTGCTAGTCAAATTTGCAGATTATTTGGCCAAGTTCAAAGTTTTTGGTCCCGAAAATTTGGTCAGAATTATAAGTAATCAGTTCTGTTATTTAGAAATTAGGTCTTATAAATTATTTTTGCTCGAGATCATTTGAAATAAATTTATTTATTTGAAGTATGGGAATAGTGTATGCTGCCTCAGCAACTACAACTCAAATAATAGTCTAAAATTATTTAAATGCATGAAAATAATTTCCTTCAGCCTTTAGCAATGCTAAATAAGACCCCAAATCCAGTGTTCACACTGCGGAGATTGTAGACAACTGTGGAGACTGTTGACAGCTATGTAGAGCAACGTATAGGTTGTTCGCATTTATGTTTTCTGACTTATCATTATTATTTGAAAGCGGTAAGGGGAGTACACAGCACGCACGTGAGAACGGTGTGGTATAACTACAGAATATAAAATATGATCAGCACAGTGTTCATTTCTTGCCCTTCCAACTTATCATTATCATCAAAAAGAAGTGTAGAGAATACATAGCCACATAAGAACGGTGTGGTGTAACCATAGCACGTAAAATATGATCATAGCCAAGTATTCATTTTTTGTCCTTCTGACTTATCTTTATCATCTAAGAGTGGTTTGGGGTATACATAGCTGCATGAGAACGGTGTGGCGTAACCACAGCATGTCGTTACCTCTTCTTTTTTTTTTCTTGTTCTCTGCGAAGTACCTATTTATGTCCCAGTACTAGGGTATTTAACGCGGCTTACGGATTATCAGCATTCACTATTTTGACAATTTTTCTTTTTTCCCCTTTTTTTTTTTCCCCGGGGGGGGGGGGGGGGGGAGTTTCCGACAGAGCCAGAAAGTTACACTTTCGGGTGATAGCAGCGAAAAAGCACAACAAACAATACCTCATGCTAAGCCTTCAAATACTACTCAATCCCATTCGTGTTGACCCCATGACAATGATCTGCTAATCTCTTGTGATAATATCTTCCCATGACTAAAGTCACGGTCGCTTGCCATTATTTTCGCTCGAGATCATTTGAAATAAATTTATTTATTTGAAGTATGGAAATCAGAAGAGGGACACTACTAAACGAGTAACGTGCATGGCAAAGGACTATCGACTCAGCTTCCTGATTTGTTTTTTTTTTTTTTTTTTTTTTCCTGGCCATCCGTAAAGCGGAAACACTGCACAACATTTATCTATTAACTTTTGATTTACCATTATCATCTGAGAGTGGTGTGGGGTGTACACAGCCGCATAAGAACTGTGTAGTATAACCACAGCACCCACAGTTTCTTTCTCATTTTTATTTTTCCTCAGGTACTTATTTACGTTATAGTACTCATTATTCCAACAATCCTACTTTTTTTTTTTTTTTTTGTATGGGAGGGCTGGAGTTTTCGGTACAGGCAGAAAAAGATCCTCTTTCGGCGACATCAGAAAAAATCAATACTCTTTCGATTACCAATCGATGCCTTAAATATCCTCGTACAAGGTCATGTGCTTTTGATCTGTTAACTTCCTGTGATTCTTTCACAGTCGTTATTTTACCCAGGTGCGTCAACAAAATTTCACACTCATGTGATGGTTGACAAAATTCATGAAATAGTAATATATACTTCTCACAAAAGAAGGAGGGTTAGAGAAAGTTTACTATAGAATTTTGTTCCAAAATGACCTGCGATATTATAAAGTTTTCCGAAATTTTTCGCACATATAGTAAGAGGGAAGGCAGAAGAGAAGGGATAATATAAACCACCGAATTAAATTGGTCTGGCCTAAGCTTCTTTCTAGATGAGAAAGATTTGGTATGAATCTTGCTTCTTGATTTTGGTAGAATGCTATGATTGCATAATATCACATGCTGCATTATGCTACATTATGCAAAAAAATATGTATTCGCACATCTCTAGTCCTAGTAGCAAAATCACTCAAGAAAACTTTTTGTATAGCACAGAAGGTGGATTCTTATGCAGATTTTTGAGAAACAACAAATTTTGTCAAAAAGAACGATTGCCTTGAACTTTCCTGTAGCAGTTATAGTCGTTTGTCAAAGTAGATAGTTTCCTTTGCAAATTTTTTTTTTTTTGTAATATATTTCTAATAAGGTCTCGTTGTGCATATACATGGCTAAAAAATATATATCTGCAGCTTCATAAGCATTTTTTTTTCCTTTATACTTCAAAATCTAGCCCTGAATCGAATGTGATAATTTTCTCAGTTCGGGTCTCGTTCTATACTTGGGTTCAAGCTATTTATTTTGATAGAATTCAAGGTCACCATATTGAAGATTCAGTGAAGATGTGTGGAATTCCTGCAAGATACAACTGCTAATGCTTATCCTTCTGATTCAGGTTATTTTCAGGAAGTCAGCATGTGTTCTTATGAATATATTTGCCAATGCTTTCCCTTTCTTATCAGGGTTGTACACACTTTCTTTCTCTAATCTAAAGGAGTCGCTATTAAGGATTGGAACCGTTATTCGTTTAACCGCATATAACCGTTTATTTATGTTATACGGTTAAACGAGTAAGAGATTTTGTAAACGATTAAAAACCGTTTAATTATTCGCTTAACCGTTTTAAAAAATTTATACGA